GGCACTCTCCCACCCTTCCTCTTCCGTTTTCATTCTTTCATGACTAGCTAATGAATGTAGATGGTGCTCTGGGGATTGCAGTGGTCTTATTACAGAGGTTGTATGTGCATCGTGCAAGCTCTGTTTTCAGCATTCAGGCTATGGTAAAAGGTTCAATTGCTTTACCAAAGCCTCCATCTTAATAAAAAGAGGGGTTAAAGAGGTTTGTTTATTTGGCCCGTCTTGGTTTGACCTCCGTAGCTCAAGGACATGCTACGTGATTACAGAAGTGTTGGTAGATTCCATGGAGAACCGGTTTGCTTGTGCTGGCTTCCCATACTCATAAATCAGATTAAATAGGTGATGATCTTCACAAATGAGCACAAAGCAGGTGGATTGTAAGAGCTAGTATTGCAAGCTTTATCACTGTTGATGGTAAAACTGAGTGGTCTACAATGGAGTATAATCCATGAAGAAATACCTGTACATCCAACTGTAGAAATTATTTAAGTATAGAAGAATTTATTTAAGTCTAATTGTTGGAAATTGGTCACTAGGCATATCTACAGTATGACCAAATCAATGACACTTTATTTTGTTATCAGTGTTTAAAATTTCAAATGATAATCCTTATTTGTGCAGAATTCTTGCTTAACGTAAAACTTATGATAAGGAAGATTTAGCAAATATTAACAGACAGCGTAGCATTTCTTGTCAAGTTTAAATAAGGTAAAGCCCTTTACACATCCATCAAAATGTCTGCAAGCTATGTAACTATCTTCTCTTTAACCAATCAAAACGTAAAGACAAAAAAATTTATAAATAAACAGAAAATAATTTGTACCAATCTGGCACATACCAGGTTAGATGATAACTTGGATGCAAATCTTAATCAATCAAGACGTGTGTGAAATAATTTTACTCTTAACCATAAATAAACACAGTGAATCAGTAAGCAATTCTACCCTTTTACCAGTATTCATGTTTTATTTCAATTCAGGAAGCTTTGTGTGTTTTCTGGTGGTTGGTCCCTACTATGTCCTTCAGTTACTGTGTTTATCTTGAAATGCTGAAGATACATCACAGCGATAGTGTTACTGTTGAAGTTGAAGGCATTCATCAGTGCAGAGATTACTTTATTTTCCCCCAGGAGTGTGACTGCTTCTGTGGCAGGACACTAAGAGTGATAAAAAGTAATTGTTATCTATCAATGATGAGATTCCCTTATGAAAATAGCTTTTCCAGCACAAACAAATAACCTTGGAGGGGTAGAAAACATATAATGCTTCACTACATAGCACTGCTGTTTTTTTTTTTCTTCAGCTTTTACATAGACTAAGCAAAATACCCTTTTCTGGTCATGCATGCAGTTTGGAATAATGCACTTAAGTCGTTTTTCTCCGGTCTCCAAGTAACCTATACCTCTCCTCTTCAGTGTCCTGTTTATTGGTCAGTAGTTCGAGCTGAATGTACGTGACTCTCAATTAGGTACTAACTATCTAAATTAGGTACTTAACTCTAAATTAGACTAGGTTTCATCTGGTTCCAATTTTATTTCTGTGACAAATGTTTTGTCTCCAGGAGATGTTTAAAATATCGGATTCCCTTTTCATAAAGTGTGTTTCCAAATATAAAGATCAAAAGGGTTATCCCTTTTCAATACTTGCCTTGTATTGAAAAGTCTTGACAGGAAATTAGTCAGATGCTTCCTGAACATAGTGTTCATAGTATTAGTGCTTGTTCCATCAAGTGTTCCATGTTCCTGCTCTTTATTGTCATTGTGTTGGAAAATCAAATGTTGACTTAAAACGCATGGGAAAAATAAATCTTATAAAATAAAGTTTTTAATCAATAACTTTCTAATGACATTTGATGATCTGTCACTTATATGTTGGTTTAATATGGATTCTCATGTTTCTAATTATAATTGCTGAAAAATACAGAGATTACTCTTCATATTTTGGCCCCTGTTTCTGTGGTAAAAAAGGGAAACAGGACCCACAGTTTACCTATGTGATGTGAGACAAAATAGTGGATATACTGTGAAACTTTTTTGTCTTTGATACAAAGGCAATCTTTTCATGTTTTTTCTCCATTATCAGCTCTCATTTTTTACTTCTCATTTCCTGCTTTTAGTTTTAAACAGTTTTTAATAGGTTATTTATAAATATGGTCACTACTTATTCAACTACCATAGTTACATTGATCAAGTCATGATTTGTGCACTGATATTATTGATTTTTGCAGTTCTGCAAAATATTTGTCTTTTTTCCCCTGTGTTAGCAGTCTTCCATGAATGTCCCTCATTATTATGTTCTTAGTTGATTCTGTGTGTTTTTTGTTTGTCTGTCTGTCTGTCTGTCTGTCTGTGTACAGAATAACTTGATAACTGGATTTTAATGTGATATTTACCAAAGGTGTACCTCAGTCCAAGGAACAATCTAAATTTTGCCGATGATCAAGCTCCTAATCCAGATGCAGGAATTTTTTAGGATTCTTTAACATTATTCAGTGGAACAAGCAGTTCCTCCCTTAAACCAGAGAGTGACAGCAGTGACTAAGGACAGCTTCAGCATCAGACTCAAAAAGGTCCAGAAGTTTTATTAAGAGTGAGCCATGCCTGGCTCAAAGTCTCAATCTGCTGATCAAAGAAGAAAGCAGAGTTAGGTCAGAGCATAACAAACACCAGAGGCTGCAGCCACTTGCTGTGCATGTAAGGATTTTAAGGAAATTGTTACCAAAGGTGCACATCATGCCTATTGGTTGGTTGAACCAGTTGGTTGAACTGGTGTGTATTTTAGAGCTTTTGTGCACGTCTTAAAATTTAATGGACTATGGAGCTTGACTGTGGTAGTCGGACGGCTCACAGAGGATGATGTAAAATTGACTGTATTTTCAAATCCTTAAGCCCAGTTGACAGGTATTTTTACAGCAAACTAGGTGTTTTCTTTTTAACAGATGTATTTGCAGGTTCTTTGTTTTTTCAGATCTCAACAGAAGCCAGCATGGGTTTCCCTGTCTATAAGGAAGAAAAGCATAAATGATTAGCCATAGAGATGGACTTAGCAAACCCTACATTGTGAGCATACAGGCTTATTTCAGTTCGCTTCAATAACAATCTTTTTTAGTTAATTTATATAAAGTCATTTTCCTAAGAATATGGTCTAAAACTATTTTAAAATCAAAAGTAGACTTGTATTTAAGACTCTCAAATACAGTTAGCAATATTTTCTGTTTCTTTATTTCATTTTTTAAAGACTTGTTTAAAAGCAGCAATTTGCAACTATATTTCTGTCTGGATAAAAATGAAATAAAAAACCATGATACTTATTAAATCATTTGAGAAAAAATAAACAGAACAAAAAAAGTTGTAAATATAACTTCCATTAACATGTTGAATGAAAAACACACAAAAACTTCAAATTGTAGACTCTACAACAAATTTATGTTATCATTGTGATCTTTACATACTACTGAAATACAAAATGCAAAATCCTGTTTAAATTCAATTGCTGTAAAAGGACATGAAATTTAACAAATATATTGAAAAGATATTACTGGAGCCACTGATTGTACAAATCTGTAAAGCTTTCTGGTAACACTTAGACAATAATACAAACATGCAAGCTATTTTAGAGAAGAAAAATCATATGAATTTATTCATAAGTAGCTCTCTTTTGTATATATGAAGCAAGTGCTTTTCTCTATTACATCATTGTACAGTTAGTTTGTCGCTGGTTGTGTTTGCATTTTCAGATAATGTGGAGCTGTTCCCTTCTAGCTGCTCTGTGCCATTTGTCCTTCCATGGAAGCAGGCTCATTATTTCAATGTGTGGTCACAGCATTCACCGTTACGCCCAGGGATCAAGCCATCTCTCCATTAGAGGAAATCACTTTGAAAGGTCTTGTCTCCCACTTGAAAGACACTCACCAACTTGGATATTCGTGCAGAGTTGATGTACTGACATTATGTTTCAACTTTCAATGCTTAACTTGAAAGATGTCAAATGGTTGAAGTGTCATTTGTACAAAGTTCAACCGTTGCTCAGCATCACTGTTTTGCTCTTCTACACACAAAATAAGATTCAGTTACCTCACTTTCCCACCTTACAAAAGGCAGTGAGCTAAAATGTTGCTAAAACATGCAGTGAGGTCCATTAAAATAGCTTTCATATTCTGTCACTGCTGAACCTATTTATAGCAAATGGAGAAAATACTGTTTTTGTTTTTTGGGGGGATGTTGAGTTATGATTTTACATAACAAAATATGTATTCGGATGCCTTTTAGAACAGAAAATTCTGAAATTGATTTGCTCTGATAGTGGACTATTTGAATATCACTGAATAACAATTTACTTTTAAGACTTAAAGGATTGTGAGCTGCAGTTTGTAGAGCTGTTGCCTTGCAGTAAGAATGCCACAAGTTCAATTTTCGGCCCGGGGCCCTTCTGCATGGAGTTTGTTCTCCCTGTGCATGCCTGGGTTCTCTCCAGGTACTCCAGTTTCCTCCCACAGTCCAGGTTAATTGACGTCTCTAAATTTTCCCTAGGTGTGAGTGTGTGTGTGCATGGTTGTATGTCTCTCTATGACAGTCTGTCTAGGGTGTACCCCACCTCTCACTCATAGACTGAGATAGGCAGCGGCCCCACCATGATGCTGACGGAATAGGCTTGAGAAAATGGAGGAATGCATGGAACTTACAGGATCTAATTACATTCCTCCTCCTCAAATCTGTGTGGAAAATGCTAACCATCTTTTTCAACCATGAAAACTGTTTATTATGGTCATAGATGAAGAACAACATTAAATAACCTCACTAAGTTTACTTTTAGGAGAGAATCTTTTTGATCTTTTATACCAAGATCAATATATTTACATGTTTAGAAGTGATTCTATACATCTTTATACTAATATCTAGTAAAATATATATACTTTATAATAGTACAGTAATAGTACATATATATAAATATATATATATATATAATCCTTACACAAAAAAACTGCTTGCACATAAAGTTTACCTATGTGGCTTCGGTGTGATGATGCACTTGTCAATTGTCCCAAGAGAGACACCAAACAGATGGTCAGAAGCAGCACCCTTCTGCACATGCTCTGTAGATCCCTCTCCTGCATTCTGAAAGACATAAGAGGCAAAAGAATCAGCAATTTCTTAGATCAGTAACAGCTACAATCCTTGCCAAGAAAATGTGCAATCATTACTATTTGGTTTTGAAAATCCATGACCTGTGGTCGTCCATAAATCAAACAAAGATGAACAATCACACCTGAAGGAGATTTAGAGTGACCTATTAAACCAAAGTGCGCTGTTATTTAAGTTGGAAGGAAGCCAGAATACCCTGAGACAGAGATGGGGGATCTGGAGTCAATAAGTCATCTCTATATCATGTATTTGTTCTACACAGCCTCTGAAGCAGGTGAGTCCAATCTGTGGAGTGATTTAACTGCCCTGAGAGGCCAGGTATGAATCATACTTTTTTGAAGGATATAGAAAAACATCATAGTGGGTTAAATATTCCTTCTCTAAGTTAGACGACAAATACAAAAAAGAAAACTTAACTTGGAACCAGTGAAGAAGCCTAAAATTAAACAACGTACCATTCCACCTATAATATAAAAAAGTACTTCGACATATAATCAACCATGAAACAAGAAGACTTATGCTACGTTCAGACCGCAGGCGCTAGAGGCAGCAGAAGCAGCTAGTTTACATGCAAAGTCAATAGTTGATGTCAAGGTGCAGCAAAAGGTCCTGTAGTGTGTTTTGAGCAACAGGATTAGCGCGTCTGAGCAGCTGAAGCAGCGCTTCATGGGCTTGCGAGCATTTGATGGTACTGAAGTTGGAAAAATTGAACTTTTGGTACTCGAAGCAGGCAGAGAAACAGACACACTGCTGATGATCACTCCCCTGAAACAGTTTATTACCACTTAAATTACCTCAAAATATCGACACCTGCTGGCAATATATGTCCAGTTTGATTATTCTTGTGCCTGCAGTTTGGATTATGTACATGAAAAACGCCTTCCAGCTGCCGCAAACATTAACGGAAAACTGCAAATAAGCGACCAGACCAGAGGCTGCCGTTGATGTCCAGTGAAAAGGCACCGCCGGTGTACGGAGGTCTCAGCGGCTCTGACAGCAAAATAATATTTGAAGGCAGGATGGTGATCTTGATGAACTGACTGCACAGATGAAATTTACAGGTGGACTTTCTCACTTAAAAACATATTAAAACTACTTTTTACCCACTTATAACAGCAAATCTTCATCAGAGGCATCTGGACACACTTTACTGGACAAGCTTCAAAGATACTTTTGAGGCCCGTCAGACCTTAATATGTACAAACATAAAAAATGAAGCAGCAGAAGCTTTTTTGCTGCTTCCAGCTTTTGCGGTCTCAACCTAGCATTATGCATAAAGCCAGAAAAAAAAACGGGTCAAAGTAAAACCCATTTATATGCCTGAGATATGGAAAGGTCAAATCTGAGTTGGCAGAAAATGCATTGAACAGCTAAAGTGGATCTGGAACATCTGTTTTTTGGCAGGTGAACTAAAATCAGCCTGTGCCAGAGCAACAAAAAGAGAAAAGATAGATGAATGTACCTTTAGGAAGCTTTGAGTAGTTTTTCTTTATTGCACTGAAGTTTTAGGTCAACTTTTTTAAAAAGAAGTAGGTAACTATTAGAGATAATGGGTTTCACAGTCCCTGTCATATATTTGTGGCTTTAACCAGAATTATGCAATCATAATACTTATTTCTCATAAATGGAGGAGCCAGCTTCACCTAAACTTCATGCAGAATAAACATACTTTTAATGTTTCTTTGAGACACTCACTATAATTGGAAGTGCAATGAAAAAAAAAGAGTAAAATAAAATTTTAAACATATATATATATATATATATATATATATATATATATATATATATATATATATATATATATATATATATATATATATATAAACTCTTATATTTATGACTCTAATGTATAATTTATCTTATATAGTTCTCTCCAGGTACTCCGGCTTCCTCCCACAGTCCAAAAAACATGACTGTTAGGTTAATTGCCTTCTCTACAGTCCCCTTAGGTGTGAGTGTGTGTGTGAATGGTTATTTGTCCTGTTTGTGTCTGTGTTGCCCTGCGATGGACTGGCGACCTGTCCAGGGTGTACCTTGCCTCTCGCCCGTAGACAGCTGGAGATAGGCACCAGTACCCCTCGCGACCCCACTTGGGATTAAGCGAGTCAGAAAATGGATGGATGGATGGATGGATGGATGGATGGATGGATGGATGGATGGATGGATGGATGGATGGATGGATGGATGGATGGATGGATGGATGGATGGATGGATGGATATCTTGTATATTCTTCCCCCTTTTATTCCTTCAGCTCAGGTCCTCTACCAGAGGCCTGGGAGCTTGAGGCATCTGCACAGTATCTTTGCTGTTTCTAGAACTGCACTTTTCTAGACTGAGATGTGTGATGTATTTCCAGGGATCTGCTGTAATACTCCTTCAAGTTTGGGGGTCACTGAGCCGAGCGCCTCACTGACCATGTGTACCACTGATGCCTTGACCTTCCAGGTTTTCTCCAGCTCTTCTCTGAGCCCCTGGTATTTCTCCAGTTTCTCGTGTTCAAGTATGAGACTTAGTTTTTTGAGTTTTTATGGCACTAGTGGCTCGTTTTTATGGACAATAGGCTGACAGGAAAGGGGGTATGAGAGAGGGGGAGAGACATGCAGGAAAGGACCACAGGCCAGATGCAAACCCGGGTCGCCCGTGTCGAGGACTAAGGCCTCAAAACAGGGGTCGTGTCCGCTAACCACTTCGCCACCAAAGTACGCCAGAGACTTAGTTCTGTATTATACTCCCCAATGTGACATTTAATTTATTGCAGTTTACTTTTTTCCTCATTTTTATATCTTTTAAAATCTGTTGTCTTTGTTAATTTCCCTCCATGATTTATATCTTAAAACTAATAGAAGGAGGTACTTTCAGGTCGGGTGCACCTCATAGCATTCGTTCCGTAGGGTTCCCAAATGGCTAGCACTACTCCTTACCTTACCTTTTACCTGAAGATATGTCACAGGAATTTTTTTTTTTTTTGGCAATTTCAGAGAGCTGCTGTTATCACTCACCTCTGATGTAGTTAGTTTTAGACAGGTAAACATTAAAGCCTTTATCGTTATTTATCCAAAACACCTACGGTCAAATGAATGTGCAGAAAGTGTGGTACACTATACACTAAAAAAGAAATGCCTCAGTACGCGAAGAGGTGGAATTTAGGTCTGATTGTCCTGAGTGCCATTGCATACCCTTCCACTTAAAGAACTGTAAAATAAAGACTTCTAATTATAGCTCCTTTCTCAGTCTGCTAAGTATACAGTATAATGATGGAGGACTCTCTGTTTTATTTCAGGGACAGGGTTTTTGTGATCAAGCAGACTAATACTTTCAAAAAACAAAAAAAAAATACAAAATATAGCGCACTGGGGTTTATGATAATTCTTTGCCCTATTTTTCTACCACTGGACAGCACATGAGCACAAATGTGCAGATGGAATTGCCTTTCATCTAATTCTATCTGCATAAGTAGGAATGTGACACTTTCCCTCCCTGGTGTACAAATACAACTGGCTGAGATTGCACAATGAAAAGAGGCAGTTTAAATGCAAAACTGCTTTAAAACCTCAGAAGCTGTCCTTTAGGGCCCTAAGTAGTCATTTTAAATCTTCAACTTGCATATTGCATATTGCAATAATGCATAAAGCAAAAATCACAAATTTCTCCATGTGCATTTTTTCTGACTTGTTCCTACTTTAATTATAACTAGTCACATTTAGCAATTTCAAGTATTTCTTTAAAACTATCAAACTGCATTATCCTCAATTTCAGTTCAATGTAAAAAATGTCAGAAATCTAAATGTTTATGGCACTAATGGTATTTGCAACTTTACTTTACTGGTGAACAACAATATCTCATTTCCCTTGCTGTCAGCTCATTGCAAATATAGCCTCTTAAATATTGTGATATGTTTATACACAAAGAAAACTGCAAATTAACCGCCACGCCAAGCGACAGGGGGGACAACCAGGTCAGTGGGTCCAGGCCCAGGGTAGAGGTGGAACCCTGAACCATATGGATGGGCAGCGGGCTTATATCCTAATATTTTGTCTTGGGCCTAGCTGAGGCTGTCACCCAGCTTGTTAACAGTCACTCGAGCCAACAAACCTGCACAGTCTGTAAAGTAACATTAGAGGGAGAAAAACAAAAATAAATGTTTTCTCTCCTAAAAGCATTTATCCTCATGCATAAAAGTTACGCCATGTTGAATTATTATGGTCCAACACTGCATCACTTTATCTTGGGTAAAGTGGGTGTTTTAACCAGTTTATTCATCTTTCTTTTATGGCTACCCTTATCCCCAAAACTGCTTGTAGCAAATGCAAATTACTAATTTGAATAGCGCAGTCCAAACCAATCCCCTTCAACCCAGTGTATGAGAGGTTCACATCCCTGTGCCTTCGGGTAGGGGATGCTAAGCATTCTCACAATTGGACTTTTATGCAAGTCAAGGATTGTCCATTATGATCACCCCATTCAAACATAAGGTGTCCATAAGTGCCCTTGGCATGAGCATACATGTATTGTAGATTGAAGGTCAATAGTGGACCTAGACCCTCTGAGACATGTCTTGGACATTATGGTAAATACATGGACTGAGCTGTCCATGGATAATCACCTGGTGGTGTGTTGGATATGCTGGATGAGCAGTAAGGCAAGCAAGTACTGAAGGTCTAATGGGAGCTTATGGCAGAGCTCTTGGTTGGGGATATATTCAAATCCTACTCCCAGGAGTGCTTTTCTCATAGTTCTCTATGTTCCCAGTCTCCCTTGGAGACTGAGAACATAGAGAACTATGGACCACTGAGAACAATGGACCATATTATCTCTAATATTAATGCAACAATCCATATCGGTGGCTGTAAGATCTGCAGTGCCTGTAGTGGAAGCAACCCCTTCTCACACTTCTCAGCCTTCTATTCCAGGTTGCTGGAGGCTTCCTTTGACTTTGTCCAACCAGTCATCTTAGGATTTGTGGATTTGGAG